GCGGACGACACCACCCTCATTGGACTCATCTCCAACAACGATGAGTCCGCCTACAGGAGGGAGGTGGACCGGCTGGTGTCCTGGTGCAGTGGTAACAACCTGGAGCTGAACGCCCAGAAGACAGTGGAGATGATTGTGGACTTCAGGAATAGCACTGTCCCCCCGCCCCCACCCTCCGTGATGGACTCCCCCATCACCTCTGTGGAGTCCTTCCGTTTCCTGGGCACCACCATCACCCAGGACCTCAAGTGGGAGCCGACCATCAGCTCCCTCATCAAGAAGGCCCAGCAGAGGATGTACTTCCTGCGGCAGCTCAGGAAAGCCAAGCTGCCTGCACAGATGTTGGTGCAGTTCTACACGGCCATCATCGAGTCCATCCTCACCTCCTCCATCACCGTGTGGTTCGCTGGAGCCACAGTCAGGGACAAACAGAGACTACAGCGCATTGTGCGCGCTCTGCAGAGGAAGTGATCGGCCGCAGCCTTCCATCGCTGCAGGACCTGTACGTCGCCCGAGCTCGAGGCCGGGCTGGTCGTATCACAGCCGACCCCTCTCACCCTGCACATGGACTATTCCAACCACTCCCCTCAGGCAGGAGGCTGCGGTCCATCAGGACTAGAACCTCCCGCCACAAGAACAGTTTCTTCCCCTCTGCTGTTGGACTCTTGAACACTTCTTAACCTGTCCCCCCGCCCTTTATAAAGTCACTTTACTGCCCATCATACGTCACTTTACTTCACTGTACTGCTGTCACCTTACATTGTGTGCACCATGTGCACTTGTACATTGTAAATAGTAACTGTAACTCTATTTTAAATTTAAATTTATTCTTTAGAAGTGTTTTTTATTCTTATTTTTATTATCTCTTTTTGACTGTTGCACTGAGCCAAAGCAATTTCCAAGTCTGTGACCTCCCGTTACTTACGTTGGCAATAAAAATGATTCTGATTCTGATTCTGATTCTGATATTTTGTTTTGTAAAAGTTGCCATATAGAACTTTTTTTAAACAATTTGCAAAAGAAGATGGTAAGAAATTAGGCATCATTCAGCTGACTTCAGCTCAATCAAATGTAAATCAATTCAGGTTGACATGCCATACCTCAGAAAAACAATTGGACTGATTTTGGATTAACTGCTCTGTACAACACATGCAGATTGAAAACCCAGCTCTGAACAAGAAAAAAAAAACATGGTAAACAAATAGTTCCAAAATATTTAAGAACAAGTACACTATACCATTGGAATGAATCCTGTTAATGAAAGAAAATGATAAAGTATCACCTTGACAAAATAACTAATCTCAAATAGCACAGTGCAATAGGTATGCAAATTGCCGCTATCACTTTAGCAGGTGTATTTCAGCGAGTACCATGAGAAAGAACAAAATCATGTAAGTTTTTAGCTCATAGGGCTTAACCATGTCTGTTTGAATAAACCATCACCATTAACAACAGAACTTATCACATCATCGGCCTACACTTGCATATGGCCTGTGCTGCCCGGAATGCAAACAACCGCTCCGTGTATATCCCCATGTCTAACACTCACACATTCTACTGTCTAAATCAGCGGCTTGCACAATGACAATGTTTAGCTCTGGTTAGCATCAGCAAACATTCTCCGACTGCCTGTCAAAACAGGGGCATAGCTCAGAAATGGATGGGAGAGAGCTTGCAGGTTTGCACGGCCTAATAAATCAGTATGGATACTTCACCTGCTGACCTATCCCCGGGTTTTATCTGGGGGATCCCGGCTTTTCCATGCACCGGAGTCGTAAATTTAGCCACAGAGGTGCTGTGTTATGGCAAGAGAAGACTTACTGGTCAGTGGGAGAGGCTAAATAGTGATTAAGGCGATACACAAGATAATAAATTTGATAGGAGTAATACTTGCATGGGCTGGTTTGGGCCAGAGATGCAGGCTGATAAAAGCATAATGATAAGTTGGAAAATATAATGCCCAATAATTGGACATTTATGAGAGATTAATGAAATGTAATGTAATGTGCCTAAACTGTGAAAATTGATGAAACAGCAGGTGAGGTTGTGGTTATCTAAAAATTATGGTTGGTATTCAATTCTAGAAATGTCACCATATTTGAAAAAAAGCTTTATTTTATGAAAACATGAAAAACCAGAAAGGTTTCACCTTCACCAAATTTTTTTCAACATAATTATACTGTACGTATTTGAGATGTGGAGTGCGTTCACACCTGGTCTACTCTTGCCCACGTGGGACAAATTCTAGTCAACTTCAATCATTGGGAAAGCAAGTGTACCCTGGTCCTCTATTCATCCCAGTCACTTCTTTTGAAGCACATTTATACATTTTTGAGACCTTACATGGACGTGAACGAAGTCCAGTGTGAAGGCACTCTAAAAGACCAGAGTATCACATCTAAGATAGATAGATATTTGTTTATTTTAACAAATACAGTACTGTCTTTCTGTTTAGACTCAGACCAAAACTATTGTTTGTTTCAGATGAGGGACATTTCAAAAAAGTCTGAAATGCAGAATGTCATTAAATCTGTTTGATTTGCTCACATCATTACTTTTGGGAACAACCAACATGAACTGGTAGTGGAAGGGAAAATTAGATACCCCAGCTTTAATTTAGTGAGTGCGCTTCGGGAGAAGACACAGAGGAGACTAAGGCTCCGTTGTTCAGCTTCTGCGCTGTACTTTTTTGTGTGCACCGGTTACGCCAAGGCACGCACAATACAAGCAGAGAATAGTTCTGTGCGTGTATGCATGGACAGTTACTTACAAACATGTATTCAAAAGTATCCAATGCTCTCACTCCTGACCTACTGTACACTGGGCTCATTTATGCAATTACAACCATCCAAGTCTCCCAACAGAGAGATGAAATATGACTTTTATATCAGTCAAAATTTATGGCCGTCGCCACAAATGACTGCTAATGTACGGTTACTTAAGTTGGGCTCTTTCAAACAGAAAGTCCATTTCTCAGAGTCACTTCCATTACCTGCAGTCGGTGGTATTAAGTATGTGGGTTTTGGCTGGCCTAAGAGCGAGCTGTTAACCTACGCTTTCCAGCTCCTGTGTGCATGCCGAGCGGACAGGAGCCAGTCTAATCCCCCTGATATGAGGAGAAGCGTCCGGAGACCTGACAAAGCATTCCAAAGATAAAGATGCCCTGGAATTCCCACAGTTGGCTGCAGTATATAGGAAGGACTGGGCTATAGATGTGAGTTTGTGAGAAAAAAATGTGAAGTTGACATCACCCCTGCAGAGGCGCTGACTGTACTCCCACTCTTTTCGCTGGACAAATTCAAACCAGATCGGCGCTCGTCCTGTCGCACCTGGCTTGGTCTGCCTTGGAGTTTTTTAGGGGTTCAAATGCACTAAACTTTAGAGGCCCATATTGTGCTGAATGAACATGTTAATGCTACTTACTTACATCATAACAGGAATTGTCGTCTTTCTCATTTCTATGTACTGGAAGTCACTGTATACATATCATCTTATTCTGAAAATGCTCTATAAGTGTTCTCTTTGAATCGAAGATGTCAAACAGTTGTTCACACTCGACAAGTCTTGCAAGAGCTCAACTAAGTCTGTGTGGTTCAAATGTCTACTTAGCAACATTACAGCCCTAATGATACCGCTACTTTCAGCCTGTTTACTTGCACAAACTCACACAAACGACAACGAAGAGGATACCCAAATCTACCAGTGGATGTATGTTATGTCAAGAAGTTTTCAAAACTTTAAATTCTTACAGAGCTTTCCAGAAAAATAAACTATTCAGTTCATTCATGATCTGAAGCAATTGTGTCAGAGCCAACAATACTGCCTCAAAAACTAAAAGCCTTGGGGACTATAGCGAACACTAAACAAAACACTTTTCCATAACAGATTGCTGCAAGATTTCACACATTTGTATTCATCTGAGATGGAGGCAACTTTTTGCAGCTGCTTCATGTGAATAACTAATTTTAGTATACACTTGAGCATGCTGACAAACTGATAAAGCTGCCAAATGGCAGAATAAAACACAAATACTATGCTTGCAAATTAAAATAATTGTATAATTGTTTATATTAGATTACCAGTTGACGTTTACATGGCTAAAACGTTGTAAACATTAAAACACATTAAAAGAGAATGAATGTGTGTAAGAGTTTGATGTGAGATTTAGGGCTATAATAAACAATATTCGATTATTGAAAACTAAGTGATGTGATGCACCTGGAGAACTGTTACACATTGGGTTGTTTGAATAAAAATGATAATAATGCATTGGTTTCATATAGCACTTTTCAGGACACGAAGACGCTCCACATGTCATTATTCTTTCACTCCATACACGGTGGAGATAAAGCACTACTGTAGCCAAAGCTGCCCTGGGGCACACTGACAGAAGCACACACACCAGACTCATTCTAGGCAATGTGAGTGAAGAGTCTTGCCTAAGAACACATAACAGTTTGGAACTTTACAGCCGCAGCTGTTACCTGGGGTTCCCAGAGGTCTCCCATCCCAGTACTAACCAGGCCCTACCCTGCACAACTTCAGGTTTGACTGGATCTGCTTTTCCATGCAAGTATGGCCACTTTCATTCTGCAGTCAAAAAATATCTTCTCGTATGTTTAAATCGTTTTATGGTTCAAAAAGTTACTCATAAATTACTAAACACATATTTCAATTAATTGATTAGTTGTAGTTAATCAAATAACTTGTTCAGCCCAAATTAGATGGATATAAACAGCATAAGATACAAAAATATGTATGTATTGATAATTCTATAATCATTGTTTGAGTTCATTTGTGGTGGTCTGGCGTACAACAAGGGAACATCCTCAAAAGATCACAATGATAAAGAGACGAGTTCCCTGGGAATCAAACATTATACTTGAAATACACAGCATTCTTAAAGGGAAAAAAAATCTGTATCCAATTCCCATCTACTCATAGAGACGTGATTTTTTTCTCAAAACCAAGAGCGCTTCAGCTAAACCTACGTTTCTCACCTGTCGAAGGACCGGAACTGCGTCGGGTCCCGGGCCATGTCTCCCACTCCTAAGAAGGCCGGGGGCAGCAGACTGGGGTCCACTGCCAGGTCGTCAGTGGGGGCGCTCACCAGGCTGCGCAGGATGTCCTTCACGTTCTTCCCCTTGGCGTCGGTGGCTGCGGGGGCTTTGACCTCCGAGGACAGGGTGGACAGGGCCTCGGAGATGGCATCCGGGCCGTGGGCTGCGGAGGAGGACAGGTCTGTGTCACCGGTCGCAGTGGAGGTGTGGTCATCGCCCAAACCAGAGTCGTATCTTCGCAGAGACATGCCGTTTTCTACTTCTGCTGCGCCCGCCACTGCGCCACTGTCTGAAACGTTAGGAAAACAAATGTATGATAGATTTTTTTAGTATAGTATTTATGATAGTATATACAAGGTTATTGTATGGACTTCAAAATGCAAGGATTAGGAGAATTGTGGTTATGTACATGAAATTTAGAATACTGTTCAAAAGTCCTTATTTTACTTCTGTACACTTTGCAAGTACCGGTAATGAATATATAACATATATTGGTTTCACATTTGAGGTTGAAATGCAGAAACCCATTCACTTTTGAACAATATAATTATTTTCATAATTTCACCTGTTAAATTACCAATTACTGTGGGCAATGGACCGTCTGGCTTTTGCACAAAAATCCAATATACAAGACAATTTCACCAAAAAAGTAGCTTGTTACCAGAAGTAGCCAAATTCATAACGTCATGTTATCATACACTCCTTTTCCAGAGTTGCGCCCCTGACCAGATACCTGTGCTCCTTGTAGACTGGGACCTCTGAGGGCCCTGCTTGTCATTGTGGGGCTCCAGGATGTCGCGGTACTTTGACACCATCAGCACAGAGATGAAGTAGACCACAGCCAGAGCCAAAAACTGGGCCTGCTTACTGTCCTCCTGGAACAAACAAGACACACTAAACTATGTGCATCTCTAGGGTGGATTCATCAGAACTGACAATAGGAATAGGGTTCATGTAATCCGTGGTGTTACGGAGATGAAGCCTGAGATTGAGATAAAAGAAACAGGTAAATTAAAAGTATGAGCATTAGGGAACCACTGATTCACCGGTTTGCAGATTTTTTAAGTCTGGCAAGATATCTGAAATTTTCCGAAATGTTGCCGATTCTGTTCATCATTGAAAGTTACAGTCTCCAGTTGGCCATCAATCAATTATAGCAGCCATTATAGACATGTTTATGCCTAATTTCAGAGCTCTGAATCACTCACTGTATTACAATCCTACACTGCAAATTTATCAAGATGATTATTGGTCTTAGTATTAGATAATTAAGATAAGATAATTTGTCTAATATAATTCATCTGATATTCAAGATTCAAGATTGATAAATGAATATTGAATCTTCAATCAATAAAAAGTATTGTAATTCTGTCATTTTCTCAGAATCACTTATCCAACTGGAAAATAATTTCACTTGCATTGCTTTTTCCACTTAAAACTAATGTATTTTTCTAGTTTTGTGAGGTGCTGAATTGTCAGGGTAGGCCACAGCAGAGATTCACACTGTCATCTGGCTGCTAATATACTACACAGACCATATTCTTCAAAGCTGAATAATGTTTATAATAGTTCATGTATATTGAAAACTTGACTAGTTCAACCCATGCCCCCATGTTCTTGCTGTTTAAGTGTATTCAGAACTCACAATATCTCTGAAGACCACAGCTCGCAGGCGGTTGATGTCCATGTCCTGCAGCAGCCTGTCCAGGTCTCTGATGGGCGACATTCCACCTGTCACAGCATCCACCGGACTCTGTATGAATGAATAAAAACCAAACCATTACTGCCCCATGTCGACCGGAGAGAGTGGCCTTTTACTCACACCGACTTTATTAATCTGCGGCAGTGCTCGGGTTTCAGGGCACAGAGAAGCGATACCTCTCGAGATGCTGTCCTTAACATAATGGCTTTTCTATAGAGCTGCTGCATTATGAATGAGCTTTAGCACCCAGTTCAGGGAAGAGCGGCGAGACTGTTACTGGAAGTCACTGTATAAAATCAAAAGGCCATTGGCAAACGGTTTGGACGGGGAAACACGTGAGGACATTACATTATTGTTGGAGTGAAGGACAATGACTCTGTTCTGTGAGTATTGGTCCATTATATCGACTCAGTGTACTTAACTTTCAATTTCAGTGTGATACAAACCCACCAACTAGTTCCGTGTCCTTAAGTAACATGTAACAAGTAACATTAAGAAAGAATAAAAGTTAGATTTAATTTACTATTCAGCTTTTTTTCTTTTTATCATTCAGACATGCTTGATTAATTAATGTATGGTAATCTATAGGACATTGTGAATGAAAGAAAAAACTGTAGTGATTACAATAGTGGATAACAGAGTCCAGTTATCACAAGATAAGATGCAGGAGGGACAAAGGACAGTGATGATCCTGGACATTTAAGAACATTTATGGACATTTATCATCATTTATGGACATTGGTCATCCCACTCCTTATGAATTAATGGCTCCTATGTGTTTGATTTTATTCCTTGTGTTCAAACTGTTTGATTCTCTGATCTGCTGTTACTGTAGCTGCTGTTTGTGAAGTCCTTCGAGACTTCTGCTGTTGTCCCTTGAGGCACCCAACTTGCTTTTTGTTGCCTCCCAATTTGAAAGACATGTTTGCAGAGCCATACATCTACACCACTGAGAGAACACCAGAAATACTTTACCTGTGCAGTGGCCGACTTGGAGGATCCTAGAACAGTAGCAGAGCGAGCTGCCGCCTCCTTGTTCTGCTTTATGTTGGCTTGTTGACATTCTAAACAATTTCGTACTGCCATAGCACAAACTGGAACAAAGGAAACAGACAACAAAGGTGTTAATTTGACATAGTTGTTGGAATGGGAGAATGTTAAGTGACTTGATAAATATATACAAATAACAGAATGAACAATGCCAAATAATTTGCTAAGGTAGACAGGTATACGATTTTTAGTGAGTTTGATTCATTCATTGTTTAGATCCCGAAAGGTCGATAGATAGGATTTTTTTTGCACATTTGACCAAAAAGTGATACCCCTAGAGAACATTTTCATAAAAATGACTTGTTACGCATTGGGTTGTTAGGTTATAAATATCTGGTAAACCTTTTTTAATTTCATTCTGCTGCTATAAAACCTCTTCTAGGCATGTTTAAGGTTAAAAAACTATGATTAATTAGTATTTGAATAATCAATTGTTGCAGCTCGAAATTAAACCTGTTTAGTGCCATTTCTGAGTTAAGTTTTTCGAGCTCATCCAACAATGTGGCAAATGAACAACATGGGGCGCCACGTCAGCATGTTAAACAACAGCTCTAGTTCAACAGAGTAAATAGACTGCACATTTTGCAAACTTTCCCATTCAAATGGACGTCAGCCTGCTCACATGCATGCAGTCCCAGCACTATCTCTCAGACAGTGACTACTACAGCACATGCAGTAATCTTTTTTTGTCTGTTATCTTGAGGTTTTCAGCCAAAGTGCTAATACCTCATCATCACCCACTCTCACAAGCTCCCAATGCCACACAAATGAGCTTATCCTGTGTGCAAATGTGGAAATCAGAAGTACAACAGACAGCATCCAGAGATCACCTGTGTCCATGGTGTGTTTTGTCTCAAACAGCTACGACAATGTTTGATGAATAAGCAATTACTCATGTTAATGTTGCGAAACTATGCAATAAAATCCATTGTCCCCACTGTTGGACGAACAAAGGATCTCTTAATCTTAATCTAAATATAAATAGTTACTCACTCTATTTTTTGGTTCTATTGATTGGTTATATCACTTGTTTTCACATTGCATGTATTATAACATAGGATCAGCTTTCTCAGATGAGGAAGTAAAAAGAGAAGACCAACCATAAGCCTTAAATATGACACACAAGGGTCATGACTTATTTGTCAACACCAATTTACTTTAAAAAGTCTAATTTAGGGAAAAAAAGTTAAGTATCCTAGATTTAAAGCAAGGGCCTTTAATAAGCACAAGACGACATCCTGCTGTGAGACCATTTTGTGCCCTTTGGGGGGAAATAAATGAGTTTACTCAAATTAATTAATATTGAGTTTCTTGTTTTCTAATTGCTTCTTTAATCTGTTGTTGGAGAATTGACAATTTTGTAAAGTCCTCCAAGACAACTGGTGTTGTGAATTAGGGCAATAAGAAAAATACATTTAATTGAATTATTGAAAACAATTTTCAAAAAAGTTAAAATATAGGTTTTTCTGAACTAAAATGAAAGCTCAGCGTGGATTTGCAGACAGAGACCGGAGGCAGTGAAAGAGCTCTGGTCGTGACAAGGTCAGTGCACTGGCCACTCCGTGCACTCCGAGTCCCATCGTTCAGCCTCCCCTACCCCACCTTTGTCCCACGCCAAGGTCGAAGTGCAGCGTGTTGCCATCCACCATAACAAACGACAGTGTGCAGATGCTGACTGGGCAACAACATACGTCCTTTTACGACTAAATATATCTCAACTTGAGCTGGAATCCAAACTGCCTCCATTTCTAATTTAATGTACGGCGTAGGTGCCCCTCCCACACCACCACCCCCAGTGACCGTTGTATACTTGACAACTGACAAATGCTAACTCCGAACCATTTAGATTACAGAGGGGGAATTATTCTGGCTGGAAATGGGTTTGCCTTTTCCATTAGGACTACGTTTTCATACAGCCATTTGTAAAAAAGAAAAAATAGAATGGCAAGTAAGGGAAGGACAGGAGAGAGGGAGTGAGGGGGGGGTTCAGACGCTAAAACCTTGTTACAGTCTCACTAAATCAGATTAGATGCCTGCTATGGGGAACGCAAACCTCATCAAATATTCATTTCATAACAGCTGCTTTCTAAACTGGGACTTGTAGAGCTGTGGATTTGCAACAACGGAGTAAAATATTTAGGTTTTAGAAGAGCTGTTCTTGGTTGAATTGTGCCTATGTTTCGGTCTGAGATCAAACATCTGATATCTTATTTTGAACAACTACATAGCAGGAATAAAATATGAAACAAGCGGATCTGGGCTGTAGAATTGGGTGTGAAAAAAGGTCCATATTGTTTTACACCTCAGCTACATTAGCACTATATTCAGCATTTTGTGACACAATTAAATGTATTTAGATATAAAGCGACTGGATTCTAAAAATGAGGTCCAGCATGACTATACTAGAGGACACTGTGAAAGTACCTCAACGGCTACTTTGTGCAGCAAGACAATATATATAACACAGCAGGTCACAATTGGCCCAGAGGCCTTATTTTGGACAGGCCTTGTTTAAACAGTCAAAAAACCACAATAGTGACAATTTCAATAAATATACCAATGTATCTATTGTTTGTTTTTGGTCCATTGATTAGATTTAATATTGCAGGTTTCACAGCAATAGTATTAGCAATTAACTAATCTCATTAAACTACTCAAGCAAATACTTTGACTACTACAGCAAGTGTGTAAGGCTGTATTCTGTTTGCAAGCCGCTCAGCGCACACATAAATGAATAATGTATCAATATCTTTTATTCAGTCGAGGCTAGGCGCGGCTTTTGATGCTGTCAGAGAAACTTTAATAGCCTACAACAGACGCCCGGGGCTACGGTGCGGTACAGTAAAGCCAAGGCCATTAAGGAGAACTCACTACATCATGATAGCAGCCATTTTCAAGTGTTGCCATGCACTGGGGTTAGAATAACAAGATAAGAGCGTGCTGATGTGCGCAGAGAAGCGGGGAACAAGGGATGAGGATGTGAAATAGAGACGGAAAAGGCTGTGTATGACCGGAGATCAATGGATGCAATTAGAGCTTCAGCAGAAGGTTGTTGAAAAGAAACAAAAACAAAATGTGCACATAGAATTGTTGTCTCTCTTTTGTTAAAAAAGTCATTGAAGTTTGTAAAAGCAAAGTAACAGAATATAGCTTGAGATTGCACAGGTCTATGCAAAATTGTGTTATAGTGCATTTGCAATAATTATTATTATTTTTTTCAATAAATACAGTTGCTATTAAATTTAACATAATTTTAAGTTTTTCACAAATTGTATGTGTAACAGACAACATTTGGAACCCTGAAACTATTTAATGGAGGAACACTCAAATCAATAAGTAAATAAAAATTGCAAAAAATATGGGGAATCCTTTGTGGGAGGGCAGGTCGCTGTATGAAAGGTGTACCAGATTCAGGAGCTCATGCAACATTTCTGCTACTTTGGGGCCTAAAGGGTTTAAACCCCTAAGCACCTATAAAACAAGTGAGGGCCTAAGAGTTAAAGAAAAACAGTTAGAAGCCCATATAAATGCAAAGTTACCAAGTCGCAGGCACTGTCGGAGGATGCCCCCAGAGGACATGTTCTTCTCAGCTTCAATCTCTGTGAAGTTCAGAGAGCTAGCAAAGACCAGGACATCCGCAAGATTGATGAGGCGCTGGAGGTAGGTGACGGAAGCCTCCAACGCCAGGCCTTGAGATGGCTCAACGTTCTCCAACTCATGCTGGAATAAAATCAAATAATCGTTATTTTTCAAAGTTTTTAAAGAAATAGCCTGAGAAAGGCTTACGACACCTTTGTTATAACATGGCAACCACACTGGAATTGTGTGAATATTAACCCAAATTAGGTAAATTATTTCTTAATAAAGCATTCCCTTTTTTGTTTTTTGTTTGTTTGGTAGGTGGGTATTTGTACTTTGTGTCTGTTCTAAACAAAAATTGAAAATAAATGATGTAAAAAAAGCCTTTAAAGCAGCATAGAGATAACAGCTTTTGTTTCCTCAAACCTATATACAACTGTGTGTTATTTCTGGGAACACAAATGGAGTAATTGAATTGTACAGGCTGCAGACCAAGCCCTTTTTCTCTTGTGCAGCGTGGGTCAATGGCAGAACTAAAGAATTATGTCACCGAGCCATAGTCAATGGGGTCATGGAAACAAAGTAACAATGTTAGCTTGGCAGCTAACTGTACCTAATGCGATTGCGAAAGGTCAATGTGGATGGATACCTTACGTTCTGGGTATATGGAGCCGTAGATGAGAATAGCTCCCCCTCACACTCTTCCTTTGTTTCTTTCCCCCTCTCTCTCTCACACACACACACACACAAACAAATAAACAGGATACTCACAGAGGAGGAGGTAGCGGCAGAGAGCAGAGGTAGAATGCCGCCACAGGCCATGATGAGGTTGTCCACCACCTGGGAAATGAGGTGTATGCTGTTGTGCACAAACACCACGTTCTCACTGCTGTTCACAAAATCCAGAATGGTCTTTGTGGAATGACTGAGGGGGGAGATTGTGGGATATAGAGATCAGTTAAAAATAAATATCATAAACCAATATTAGTTGTGAAACACATTATAATGCATAACATATAACATAGGGAATCCCGAGTACTCGCTTAGTCCAATTTAATTTGATTGCGCAAGACGCTGGCATATAACCATCTAAACCGAATAGAACTGAGACAAGACCAGCAGATGCATTTAGGAGCACAGGGAAAAAGCATATAGCTATTCATTCATTAGGATCATTGCAATTAAATATACAGTTCTATGTGATTTATTATTATTTACTAGAATAAAGCCAAAACTCAAAACACATTCATAACCAACTTTGTTCAGACGGACCATAGCCTTTAAATAACTACACTTTGAATGCACGAAAATCACAATTATCATAATGATCACAACACTACCTTCTCCACATCTGGACATCAGTCTCAATGGAGAAGAGCAGGTCTGTGAGGAGGCGCTGGTGCATGTGGGACCAGCGGAAATCTGGGATGCGGAACATGGTGGAGCGAGGGGCTGATGCAGCACCGTCTCTGGGCTGCTCAGAGGAGGCTGCAGCTGATGATGCCTGCAAGCTCGGATTTGTGTTCTGCAAATGCAAGAAAAGGAGATGTCAGGGGAAATCCAAAAAATAGATCATGGGCTACAAATCAAATGCAAAGCAAGATTTTAAATTATAAGTATGACCTTCAATTCTATATATATATATATATATATATATATATATATATATATATATATATATATATATATTCACAATGAAGAATAACTAATATCTTCATTTATCAATCTGATAAAATGTGAAATTATGGCAAAAATGTATATAATAGCAACATATTCATTTGATATCACCCCTTGTCCTTAGACATTTATGGACATTGACACATTATTCTATTAACCCATTATCCTATGGAAGAACGACAATTTTCTAATTTGCTGTGGGTGAATCAAAAATTCTGTGACAAATGCTGTTGTGATTTTGGGCAATACAAAAATACATTGATTTGATTTTACTGACAATTAAGTTCAACAGTTTTTTTTTTCACCCTTCGATATGAAGAATACTAAGTGGTACTTACAGATGTTGAGGTCTCCTTCAGCTCCAGTCGCTCTGTGTCTAAGGCCACATTGGAAACATCTAGTCTGGCTATTTTAATCTCTTTGGTCTTGCTGGTGGAGTCGACGCTCTCCTTTTTACCAGGGCTGGAAATGGGAAGGCTGTCTTGGGACGCTTTGGAGGATGCGTCTTCCTCTGTGGGTTTGCGGGCCTCTGTAGCTTGAGCTTGCTCTACACTGTCCTCCTGTCCTGCGGATGGCGCTGCGGTGCTGGTAGACGGCTGCTCTTCATCTGTGGGCTCGGCAGAGGACGTCTCAGCGTGGGGTTGTTCTTTGGGTGTTTCTAAAGCATCTTCTTGCGGGGAATCCAACTTTTGACTTTCCGTATCGGACACCTCCTTCTCTTCTACAGCTACTTCCTTATCCGCTTCAACTTTCTTCTCCTCTTCCTCAACTTCTTCATCTTTTCCGTCCGCATCTGTCACAACGCCGGACTCTTTGTAGCTTTCCTCTGCATCGCTGCCGTGCACTTGATCGCTGAGGGAAGACGTGTCGACCAAGTCCTCGTTGAAAACCGATGCTCCTCTCAGGGCCTCATTGCCGGTAGCTTCTTCAGACTTGTGAGATGGCTGCTCGATAGAGTTCTGCTGTTCTGAAGTTACAATTGTTGTGGATTCTCCTTCGTTCAAAGACTCGTCAGTCATGGAAATCGACGACTCGCCATTCCCTGTTTCTAATTGTTCCTCCTCGATTATAGCGTTGTCCGGAACGGATGTTTCCTTGTCAATCTCGGATTGCGCCTCAACGCTGGGTGTGACTTCCGAGCCTTCTCCTACCTGGACCTCTTCGTCTCTGGCTAAAATGTTGGACACGGTTATAGAAGTTTGCATCCGTTGTTCTGCTCCTTCGCGGGGGGTTTCGAAAGAAGAAGAATCTGCTGGCTTTTGAGAGTTTTCATCCACAGTTAGTTCAATGACAGTAGAGGGAGCGGTTTCTTCTGAAGGGCCGTTGACGTAGTCAGTGGTCTCGGATATTTGGCTTGCCAGATATATGGAGCGGACGGTGGATGAGGACTCTTGGTGCTGGTACTGCTGGAACATGCGAGCCAGATTCTCCTTGTGTTGCTCGAAGGCCACCTGTAAATAGACTGGGGTTAAAATGTGTTTGTGCACTTGAATGCTTATTTGTTATTTACTGTAAATGTTCCAAACAGGTGGGTTCACTGTGCTTTAGATAGTTGTGGCTGGCTTTTATATACAGTAATAGAAAAGGGGGGGCTGTAAGAAATGTCAACCGTAATATAATAATTGCAGCCACAGCACAGTTGTATACCATGTAGTTTCATAATGTTTAGCAAATACAAAGGACTTTTAAACAATAAATGTGCCTGTGTTTATCCCAACTTCTTCTTTCCTCAACTGTGTAAATATTTGAAGTAAAACTACCGTAATACTGGGCAGCAAAGAAGTGCTTCATAACAGAAAATAAATGAAACACCTCATAGGTTATTGAAATTACTTGGGGCATGACAGGCCAATAAAATACTAAAACAAAATATTTGTGAACTCCAGCCTGTTAGGTAAGTTACTTTTTTTTTTTTTTTTTTTTTTAATGCAGTGAATAAAACTCTGTTAATAGAGTTAGAAATCCTCAAGGTTTTGATATTGACCAATACATATGTGTATTTCATATGTCTTAACTGTTGATTCTCTGATCTGTGTTGGTGATTTCAATGTTATTGTTAAGTCCTCTGAGATGACAGCTGTTGTGACTTAGGGGTATACAAGAATAAATTGTATTGTATTGATATCAGGACATTTTAATACCACACAGTCCCATGGTGTACTGGTTATTACCCCAAGCTTTACATAAGAAGTGTATATATTGATGGAACTAAAACTCAGGCACTGTCAGTTTCAACTGTATCGATTATGAATGAGACTACCCACAAAACTACAATACCTACCAACCTTACATTTGGTTGGAAGGTAAATATTTTGTTGTAGGTCAGTTGGATGGGAAAAAAATAATAATAAAAGGCTGAAAGCAATTACTTTTTCAACCTAGTGACTTGTGGTTTGGGAGTACATGCCTCAACACTGCTTAATGATGAATATTAGGATCCATTCCATTGTCAGCAGATAATCAATGCTATTCACTCCACCTCTTCCTGTGAAGATGCTACATCCAATAAGCATTCATGTTTGTTAACATGCCTGTAATGGAATATGCTTATAGGTTCTTTTTTTTTTAAAGAAATGAGACACCTATGGTAAAATATCTTTTGACATATCACCACTACAACTATATGAGAAAGACGACATTTTTTAGAGAAATGTTGAAAAGGAAAATGCCCAAATCTTCCCAGCTCATTAATTTGTTAGTGTTTAGATTCACAAACCCGCCATATTTTTTTATGTTTGAAGGTCCCTTCTGTTTTTGAATGTTGTCACCACATCTAGACAACTTTTATGAGAAAATTATTAGATCATAGTTGATACTGACAAATAAGATATGGAACTTTATGACCAATTTGGCCCAAAAATAAATTACTTTTGACAGTTACCACAGTAGTTTAACTGCCCTCCATCACAATGTTAAACTGTGGTCTCAAATGTCTAAAACACAGCCTATTATCAAACAACAGATTCAAAACACAAGAAATGGTTGTAGCCTGCACTGCACATACCACGGGGAGCATTTGTATTCAAGTGAACCATATTTAAAGATCCCCCTCAGTTACACACAGCTACCCATAGCCTATTAACCCCTAATCAGTCTCCTCCCCATCTGATACAGGTCCAGACAGACTGCTGGTCTATACTTACAATGGCATTTGAGGAAGAACCATTCATGTAAGCAGACATAGATGTGCACTAGATACTATTAGCGTTTGTCTCATGGTCGTGCCGCGTCCGTGTCCGGCATTGGCAAGTCCTCCCACGCCTAATTTAAGACTCCGGCATTAATCACTGGGCTCGGAGGACAGAAAGTCAAAGATTGTAGAAACAAAAGGGGGGTACAAACTGACCCACTCGTGTTGCCTTTTCTTTTTTTTTTTTTACCTGAGGCTGTTTGGATTGAGAGTGAAGGAGGGAAACAAAGAAACGGATCAAAGGCAGGAAGAGCAAAGAAGTGGGAGAGAAAAGAGCTAGTTATTAGTAATTAATTAGGCTTTATTGTTCTAAATTAGCCTGCTACACAGCCGCTCATTAATCTTCAGTAGTGAGGAGCACTGATTGGAAATCTATAGCTGGTTTCTGTTCTAAATGCACCAGTAGTTCTCCTCCTCCAACATCCCATCTTTTTTCCCCTCACTAATCTCCATTAATTTCTTTGAGCATAACTTGGTCAGTTTTTATTTTTCTCAATTGCAAATACATACATGCAGCCGATGGTTATGGATAAAAAGAAGCACTGAAGAGCAGAGCAAAACATTACATCATAGATCCAGGATGCAGTCTGTACGTTAACATGATACATGCGTGCGTGGCATAAATGGTCTCACTTAGCAATCGAGGGGCCATTAGACCAAGGCAGAAGTAACATATGTTGTTTTTAAAATAATCGAGCGACAGTTTTGTACATATTATATATATATGCGGAAGATGAACAGAAAGCAAATCTGATTGAATTCTACCCGGACAAGAGGATGGGAAAATTAAATGTAATGGTAATATTCCAAAGCATGGCAGGCTGCTTGAATGTGACAAGTGACACAGACTGAATGTTATGGTTTAGGAAAATACATGATGACAGTATGTTAAAGCAAACATGTATCATAAATAGCCTTGATATCAGGCTTGACCAAATAAAAGAAATAATTCAGTAATGTTGAAGAAGATGACAAAGTCTGGGATCGCGTCTTTCATTCAGACAGAAGACATGTTTTATTGTCAATGGTAGAGACAGCACGATCAAAGCACACGATCACAGATACAAGAGAATGCAAGTGTATTATACAGAGCGGAGGCATGGAGACCTCCAATCAGCAGCTGCCACGGTGTGCTTGTAGCTTGGCCTTCAGATAGACAAAACAAGGGAAAAGTACTGGCTTCTGCACATTGATAGAATGATGAGTTTAACTTTAACAAAAGTTGCTTCAAAGTGTTATGAAATCCCATATTCCCCCCTCTGGTCATACATTCACGTGTGACCATCAGGATCGATAAACAGCAACATAACATCATAACTCAATACTTCAAAAACTCAAACTCGGTACTTCAAAAACTCAGAAAACTCATAAAACATGTTCAGATCTTTCATAAAACTTGTCAACAATCTTCAGTAAAATACCAAACTTCATCAGTCGATGGTGTTTCCAGATATTGCTTTGAAAACAGTCTCTCCCACTTCTCCGTGTTGGTTTCTTCAGGCTGCATTTGTTGTGTCGAGCCATGAATTCTTCTGTGACGTGTCTTTCAATCACACGTTTCAGCTTCAGTGTCCAGATTCAGCAATTCAATTCAGTCCAAATTATGTCCAAATTCAGAAATCCAGATTGTTCCAAATTATGTCCTTGCAAAAGAGGACGATGGTGTTGTCCATGTCTCAGCAGCTCACAGCCTGACTGGAATCAGGGGCTGTGCAGATTGTCCATGTGCTGGTCCAGATGCATTGTTTCTCTTGAGGTTTTTCAGTTTTGGCTTAAAAAAAACACTTTTTTGTGTAAAAAAAAAAAGTAGTCTCCTGTTCTCTAGATGTTACAGACAATGCCCGCATCCTTCCACCACCTGAAGAAGATGACAAAGTCTGGGATCGCGTCTTTCATTCAGACAGAAGACATGTTTTATTGTCAATGGTAGAGACAGCACGATCAAAGCACACGATCACAGATACAAGAGAATGCAAGTGTATTATACAGAGCGGAGGCATGGAGACCTCCAATCAGCAGCTGCCACGGTGTGCTTGTAGCTTGGCCTTCAGATAGACAAAACAAGGGAAAAGTACTGGCTTCTGCACATTGATAGAATGATGAGTTTAACTTTAACAAAAGTTGCTTCAAAGTGTTATGAAATCCCATAATGTCCAGAAAAAAAAGTTAAACACAGCCATGTCACCACACTACTTTCCCCAAAACATACAGATGAAATTCAGAAATGTAGAATTATAGTTAGAAAGTTCATTCATTTCTTTCTGTAATTTTCAGATGTTTTATTTTGGGTTTTAACAAGCCGTGAGCCAATTATCAACATTATAACAAATAAAGAATTGCTATTACTCACTCTGCGTGTAATAAGTATGTCATAATTTTCTGAATCTAACCTCTACATAGTACTACAGCAGAATGCGTTGAATAATTGAGTTGCATTTTTGTATTTTTTATTTTATTTTATTGCTTACTTTTACTTTCACAGCCCCACTAGGCAGAACTTTGCTACAGCTCAAACACTAAAGCACAGAGTAGCAGAGAGCTGATCTGCTGAGACCCCCGTAGTTGTAGCCAGGGAGTCCCCATTTAGATCAATAGATAGGGAGTAACCGCAAAACAAAGGGGAACTGGGGAGGGCACCATGGCTCTAATCGGATTAGCTAAATGTAGTTCGTCCTCCAAAATCAATGTCATCTGCTGCTGTGTAAGATCTCAAACATGTACAACCGCTTTCTGGATGTAGGGAAAGCAATATTGTCATCTAGCAGTTACTTTTGTTTGTTTATGAAGACTGTTTCAAGGCTAATGTACTGTAACTGATTTGAAATGTACACTATAAACTGTAAAATACATGAATAGCAAGTAGTGCTGGGAAATATTTTACCACCAAAAATAAACCACAATGTGAAATCAAATTAAAACACACAGGACCTATGTAATGAAGTGGCTCTACTTAAACATGTACAACACTTGATGTATTCATTGGCTCCACAGTATTGTCCTCCTCATTGTTCATTCACTTGTCAATAAGTCTGCCTTACAGTCACCCACAAGTGACCCTTAAATCCATCTAATAGTTCCACGCACTCAAAACGGTTTGGTTCTAAAATAAGAGAGGACCCATTTTTGGTCAGTCAATAAGCCAAGCTAAGCCCATCTTTCTTACAAGTATACAAAAAAATAATATATTCTAATAAAAGCAAATTATCTAAGCAAACTTATTAAAAAATTCTAATTAAGTCTAACTAAGAAGTTTACCCCAGCTTTAACAGAAGACACTATAAAATAAGTCTGTTTTGGCCATGTAGACGTAAAAAATAACTTTTGTAATATTTTCTTTTGTTGCAAGGAACACACACCAGATGACCTAATAAATACCTTTAAAAGACTGAATGCTTCACATGGTGGACAAAAGGCAACATTTTTAAGTTTGAGTGAAAAAGTAATCATTAGAGATGTTTTATTGACACATTAAAAAGTCCCATTGGGATGTGTATTTATGAGCCCTTGTTTCTCTGAATGTTCTGCACAACTCCAATGAATATTCAATGGACTTGGAAAGAGCTTCAGAGAACCCAACAGCCCAGGAGAAAAGGAGGCCAGAGAAGTGTTCATGCACACATTTACACAAGCCTGTGTGCGTGCGTGTGCACATGGGAGTGTGTGTGTGTGTGTGTGCGCGTGCTTATGCGTGTGTGTGCAGTGATACACAGCCCGCAGCGGGAGGAGAGAGCAGCAGTGACAAACTGCTGCGCTGCTACAAAGGTGGCAGGAAATCTATCAAACGGGACAATAAAATTGCAATTGAGTTTCTTTAGCTTTTTATAGCAGATGCATGTATCTTGTAGGCTAGCCCCCGCTGCAACTCCCCACTTCACACACAAGCAGGGGTCCAACAAGGAAACGATGCTAGTGCATTGTCCAGGTCTTACAGGCTTGTGTGTGAGGCTAAAAGCAGAGGTAGTAAGGTAAAGGTTGAGGTATACTGTATTGTCCTTGTAGGGAAATGTATCCACCACATTTGAGCCATCCTATAGGGCAACCTGTCAGGAGCTTGGAGCATTCGACCCATGCTTCGGGTGTTGGGGTAAAATTGGAGCATACAGAGGAAACCCAACCAGACATGGGGAGAAACAACTCCATTCAGACATACCCAGGCCAAAACCAGTGACCTACATGCTGTGAGATGGGAGCCACAGTGCCACTATATTTCAGAGTTAATTATTTTTCATTATGCCTAATGCATTGAAAACAACTTGACACATGCCAGTTTGACAAACGGTCACACAAGACTCAAATCAGTCAAAAACAAAAAATCTGAGACTTTTTAAAATATTAGATCTGTGACACTGTCATATTTGTTTGCACATTTCAGACTCTCTCCATTTACCCTAGGGCCTAGAGCATCTCAAATACAAACTCCTGCTCCTATGTGCCCTGCACATTTCCACACACTCTCATCGTGACAATTTAATTTTCACTGCAGCTAGAGCTCTTTCACATTGTTTGAAGGTGTGGAGGGATACTGTGATGTGAGGGCATCTAAACACAGCTCATCTCACACCCAGACTGCCTGTGCCCCCTGCTGGACGTTGCCTTTCACTGCACAGAGAACGTCCTATCACCAGCACTTCTTTAACCTTCAATCTGCCAGGTTTAAACCCCCCCTGACCACAATCTGACACCAGCCTCAATTACTTTGGTGCGCTGGTAAAGAGGAGCGTAAGGCGATATAAACACAGTGTTACTAAAGCAGTGCTCCGGGTTCAGCTTTTGGAAATGAGAAGTGCCAGAAGTTTATTTTTATCTGTACAATTTAAAAGGAAGAGGGGCCTGTGTATAAATAAAGAGCGGAAAAGGTCGGTGGGCTCGCTCCTATTGGTTTACACTACGACAAGCTTTAAACTAGTCCTCACTCAAAGGCTTCCACTCCGTAATCTGATGGGCACACACTGCCCATGTTACTGCAGAGACACAGTGAGCTAAAGAGCATTCTGATTGGAGGAATTGAATTAGGAATCAGACTAAATACAGGATCATATTGTAATGAAGAGGTTTTCCATTGAGATAAACGGTGTAATTCTAATTGCAAAACCATATTGGAAAATGATATTATATGGGAATATACATACATATATATATACACACCCACTATTCATACATTTTGGTTGCCCAAACAGTCTTGTAAAAGCATAAGTGTTCAAATCAGACCACATTCTATTTTTTATCTCATTAGAAAACATCTTTGGCATACTTGTAAGAAAGAGGCCTGTGAGTCACTATTTGACTCTTTGGGCGAGAGCTGAAAGAATGATTGAGGGTGGTCCTATGTTTGCGATATAACCAAGCCTTTTGGGACCGATAAACTAGTTAGATTGATTTTAATAAATATATTCTTTTGTGGTTTGAAACTTGGTTACCACAAATTTAAATTGATGTTATATTGTGTTGAGCAATTTGTTAATATTGTACTTTTACTGTATAGTATTGTATCTGATATTATATGTATATATTATTTTGAGTTTCACCCCCTAATCCCCAATCTGTGTGTGTTTTACATCATGAGCGCTCTGACCTTAGAGTGCGTGATGGACAGCGTGTCCACCCAGACCCTCCAGCCGCCCCACTCGTACTTGATGGCGTGGTAGAGCAGGATCCTGAAGATGGCGTAGACCATCTCTGTGATCTTCTGCTCCTCGGTGGTGCGCGGATTGATGAAGCCCAGAGAGAGCATCCACTCCTGCCACACGGAGCACTGCAGCAGACCCCTGTGCAGCAGCAGCAGCAGCAGCAGCAGCAACAGTAACAGTAACAACAACAACAACAGTGAGTCCCTCAGGCTTCAGCCGCTTCATCTCCCGAACAGTTCCACACTTACCTGCGGTTCTCTCGGCTGTTATTGAACAGTTTGATCATGTCTGACAGGAAGACCCGGCGCACTTCCATGGTCTCCGGGGAGGGGGCAGCGTTCTTCAGCAGAGCAGCTATTACCTTCAGAATCTCTGCAGAGCAACACAAAGCACGCCATTTGGTCAGTAAAGGAAACAGAAAGCCAGTACAGCAGGAAAGACCATTATCACACAATATACTCACAATGGTGATAAACAGGCTGTAACAAAACTACAAATACTGCACGATTAACAACAATATAACCGTTTTTTTTATTCCTACTTCCTTAAATAGCAAAGTAGTGTACTTCCCAATGTCACCATACAGGTTCACAGAATATGTTATTTTGGCTACTCTTTTTTTTTAATTTTTTTAATCTAATTCCAGCATATTTATGATGAAGTATTGTAGTTTGCCGACACATTGATATTTACAATCCTAATTCAAATACATAAAATAAACATTGAAAATATATCAAATTACAAAAAAAAACTGAAATGCAGCAGTATATTGTATTATCATCATGTCATCATTTTTCCATCACATCCCCAAACCCAATCAGAGCACTGAACAGTAAATGGAATATTTTCTCGCTCATGTTTTTATATTTGTAATGGTCCCCAGGAAGATTGGTATCTGTTTTGACTAATGGGGATCCACAATAAATTCAATTAAACGAATAAATGAATGTATTGACATGTATGTATGTATGCCGTTACAGTACACATACGTACACCCCAATACGATAAAGTACACATACATCAACAAGGATTGTGGTGACACGTTGAATCCAATTTACAGACTACATAAAAGTACAATGCAATATCTGTCTCCATCACTAGTGTTCAGTAATGTATAAGGAAAAAAATGTCTTGCTGACAACACATTGTATCTAGAATATTGCCTTCTGGTTCTGCCATATCTAAGCTAATATGCTGGGATATGGAGAAACAATCGAAAAAGATAGACTCCACAACTAATCTGCTTGCAAAATAATCTCGTAACAATCATTAATGAATCAAGATATGTAGACCATACACACATGCTGTTTTTAACATCAAAATTATAAAAATGTAGGGACCTAGTAAATTCATTTGTGGGCAGGGTTAACACATACACTGCACCCAAATAGAGGACCACACTGAACAGTTATTGTAATTTCAAATGAAATAAGTAATAACTTGAGTCTGGGTTTGAAACATTGATGAAATATGTTACAGGAAATACAATATCAGGTGGATTTCAATGAATTATGAAAACATTGACGATGGCCTAGTTTGAAACATAATCTGAAACCTTCTATCATTTAGTCTCACTACAATAAGAGTAAGAAGGAAAAGATGGATTATGTATAACTTATGCTCCCGCAGGGCAAAGGGGAGGGATTTGAGACATGTAATCTTGTGTCTTACTTGCAGCATTTGTATCGTCTTTGCCACAGATTTTTGATTTATGGTGTGATATTTTTGTTTGTTGTGACAAACTTGTGCTTATAGTTTAGTGTTTGAAATAAAGTGTAAACTAATCTACATCCTCAATCCAGCCTTCTTGATTCTTCATAGTGTGAATCAGTCTCATTTCAACCCAAACAACTACGGCCACATTGCTTTCAACACTGGCGTTGCGTCACTAACTATTCCAGCGTCGAGTCCTATCATTATTATTATTAGAGAATTTTCAGAAAAAAACATAACGGATGAGGAACAAAAACGCACAAAATAAAAGCTTCCAGACAGTCGATGTTTATCATGGTGTAATGGCTTGCGTATTGTTCCAAATGAGAACGCCAGGCCGCTCCAGTTAAACCAAAGAGACTGACTGTTTAGATGAATTATCTCGACATTGTCAGTGTCCATTAGCACCGAGCAGAGAGACGTTGCGGCTTGGGTTTCAGCTTGTCTTCTCCGACCTTGGCGCTAACCGATGCCCCCTTTTTTGCCTTTCGTGTTGTTACTACGCCTTAGTCACTCAAATTACGAGTCGCTGAACCTTTACCGCCAGAAAATTACCCCAGCGAGTACCGGGAATGAGGCAACGTGGGGCGGGTCAACGTATTCTCTTCATTTTTTCCCCCCTTTCGGTTTTCTGCAACTTGAGTTAATTTGAGGGAAACAGTAACTTCCTTGGTTTGTTTGATTGGCTCTGACGGTACTAAAGACTGCAATCAGGGGGCCTACACAGAGGAGGAGGGGGGGGGGGGGGGGAGTTTTTGTCGTAGATTAAATCAAGAGAACGCACGGTAAAGGAGAACCAGACCGGCCAGATGCAGTTCCATGCAGAGAGTAACAAAAAAGCCAGACGACCGAGATTCCTATGATATATGCTTTCAGTCGGCGAGGAGAGTTTTGGAACAATAAAGGCTTAGGGCAATCAACGTGTGACAACTGCACAGCCATGGCAGATTAGGGAGAAGTAAACCTGGGTTGTAATTATGGCAAAGTGCTGGGATTTTCTCCTGATTAAAGCTGTTTCGCACCAAGGTGAGTGTGGGCGCTGAAGAAAGGGGTGTTTGTAACCTTAGCCTTAGCTCAAAATGGCTACTTAAGATCTTTAACCATGTAAAGATAGTTTGTGGAGTGAAATCTAAAGTAATGACCTTAACAGCTTAGAAGGAGAGCTGCAACTAAAGCCAGACCATATTAAAAGGATTTATTAACATTTGAGTCTGTTTTAATAGTTTCAAAATGCATTTCCTAAGCAATACTTAGATAATCCCACATATAAAACGTATTGTATACATGAGATTGTCTCGTGTTTACTGTGGATAAACACTAAAGGCTGATGACATAACCTCTCTACTTTAGTAATAAGGCCTTTAATTAAAAACTTTTTTTTTTAAAGCTGGGGTACCTAACTTTCAACCACATAACAGAAAAATGAAAAAGAGAGGATCACCCTTACTCAGCCAATCAGCCTAAAGGGTCAAATTGTGATTCCCAGGGCTCTTTCTTAAAACTATGCAAAAGTATTGAAATTATTTCTAAGAAGACGACTGATTTTTTGGCAAGATATATTGATTCTATAAAAGATTTAAAGAAGTATAAAATAAGTATTTACTTTTACAAGACTCATTCTGCCGGGTAAAAAATTATAATTATGAAAAATGAATTGGGTACCCCAACTTTAATAAAACTTTAAGTGTTGCCTTTAAATTGACTGAATGAACAATATGCTTTATAGCTATAACGAATACATACTAAGTGATTATGTGCGCACTGGAATATTATAAAATACCACAGCAGAAGAGTTAGACTTATAATGCATTGTATTTAGATTAATCTTTCCCCAATTTAACCATATTTCAATCATATATTTTGTATATGCTAGAATAAATATTAAAGTTGATTGTACAAGTATTCATTATTAATGCCTGGCAAAACTATAATTATACCCAGCAGAAACTAATCATTCGTATTTAATTATTCATGCAAACTACTTGGGGATGCTAATGTATCTTAAAAATAACTTCTTTGCCACAACACATTTGATATGACTGCGTTTCATTTTCCAGAAAAAAAGTCAATTCAAAAAACAGATTTGCTTTATTTATGGCAGAATTCTTCTTGGTTGTTTTTATGTCTGGTGTATGGAAATTCCCCGCGGCGGCAGAATTGAAGCCATTCATTTGTGTGAGTGTATATAGCGAGCGCATTGTTCCGTGGGGAGTGGGCTTTGGTGCAGAGTCTGGGTACACGGGCTGATTTAAGGCAGCGGCAGAGGCACTCACGAGGGTTGAGGATCTTCACGGCCGAGTCGGGGTCCGGATGCTGTTTATAGACCACTTGAGTGCAGATCTGCTCCGTGAGGATCTACCGGGGGACAGGGAGAAAATGAGGAGTCGTAAATATCCACGCACACGGCTTAACAATACCTGGGAAACACACTGTACAAACAGACGACACAGTGCTGGGTTTGGGCTTTTTACCCGTGCATTTAAAGAAGTCAAAAAATAAAGATGAGTTTTAGAACAAATATTTTCAGTCAGCAAAGTATTGAAAACAACAATGAACTAAAAATGAAGAAATAGGGCTGCACGTTTTTGGCAAATATTGAATTGCAGTATTTCTCAACAACATTGCGACTGTGTTGTTGAAAAAGACATTTTAAATAATAAAAACAACCATCAAGAGTTTTGAAGAGGCACACATACGAAGTAGTTACCTCATCCGAGTTCTAACCTATAGTGCCACCATGTTTTTTCAGTAGAAATAACAGATTCACAGAAAAAAACTATTTAATGTAATTGCATAAACAAAAGTTGTTTTTTAATCTTTATCACAAGATGACAGAATTATACTTATTCCATTGACGAATCTTTTGCTCCACTTAAATCCCTTTTCTGTTTCCAAAAAACTATAATATAGGCAGTTCTTGCGATTTGCTACTTGCAAAAATGGCTACTTCAATGAATCACGCAGCCATAGCTAATTGTAAAGCTGCCCAAAGAAACCAAACTTTGGGCAGCTTTACTATTAATCAATGAATGACTAAACGTATTCATTGATTTGAAATCCAAATTTAAGCAATATTCTGCAATTACTACAAATATTTATCTTTTTGGAGAAATCCCAAATAGCTTATAACACTAAATGACTTGAAATGCTTGTTTAATCAACCGACCTTGCTCGTGGTAGTCCTTTGAAAAACCTCCAAACACATCTTTCAGAATTTTATACCTAAATGCCAGACTACTTCCACTGCAGCACGTGTTGAACCAACCTCAAAAAGAACATTGTAGGTCGTCATGGAGATCTGCTTTGAGTGGAGCATCAGTCGTTCGGTGAGCAGCGAGAAAAGGCCGTGACTCAGCATAACTTCAGCTTTCCTCCTGAACACAACATTTCACATTTCAAAATCACACACGTTCAAGCTCTTAAGACCCATTGTACCTGAGCAGATGAGAGTTGTGTTTGCCCTTACACACACACACACACACTGGTACAATTACTCACAAGATACATTTGACATTCAGGATATGAACAACTGAATCCCGGCTGACTCCATTCAAACTGTACTCCACTTTCATCTTTTAATAATAAATCTCACTGGTTAAAACAGTCTTTTCTCCACACACACAGGCCCTGCTGTGTGTACAATTAACATGGATTTCCATTGCAACAACATTTCAATATGTTGGTAAAATACATCAATTAATAAATAAAGTGTACCTTAACCTTAATAATCTATTTATTCATAAACATCACATGTAAAAAAATACCTGGTTTAATGATACTTACTTTGGTGGCAAGTGTTTCAGAAAGTAGCCCAGTACTTTTAGAGTCTGCACTCTGATTGGCTCACTTTTTGAAGCCAGAAGTTTATAGATGACCCTGAGGAAAAACATCATAAGAATGTTACATAACATAAAAACATAAGACTAAATGTCCACAAAGACATAGACAAAAAATCTTTCTCTTAAGAGAATAAAAAAACAAGCTTTTAAGCTAAGATTACGCAATATTAACACGCACATAAGCCATTACATGAAGTGCCTTTTAGAACAAATAGACTGCATTCATTTATTTGCAATAAAAGAAAGCAAATAGTACACCAACACCACATCATCTACAGGTGAAAAATAGAATATCGTTCAAAAGTCCATTTACTTTAATACATATACTCATTACACGCAAAGTGAGATATGTCAACCCTTTATTCCTTATAATGTTGATAATTGGTTCATAACTTAACCTCTGGGAACAGCAGCCACAGTGGGGCGGCTGCGACTGTAAAGTGCCAAACTGTCGTTGTGTCCTTAGTCTGGTGTGTGTGTGAATGGTTGGTGGTGGTTGGAGGGGCCGATGGCACATACTGGTTTCCTCGCTTCTGTCAGTGTGCCCCAGGGCAGCTGTGGCTGCAGTAGTAGTTTATCACCACCGTGTATGGAGTGAAAGAATAATGACATGTGAAGTGTCTTTGAGTGTCCAAAAAAGCGCTATATAAAACCAATGCATTATTATTATTATTATTATTATTATTAAAACTTGTAAAAATCCAAAATGAAAATAAATCTGAAAATTAGGATATTTTGAAACTAAGTCATATTTATAAAAAATAATTTTAAAAAGGCTTGGCAGAGTCTATCAAGCATTCGTTTTCACATTTTAAGTTGAATTACTTAAATAAATGAACTTTTGAATGTTATTCTAGTGTTCAGAGTTTCACCATTATTTCATCTTTTGGATATGACATTGTTCTTGGCTTAAGGCCAAAAAGATTATAAACTATGCACAAACTGATTTAGCAAAATTACAAACATTTGAATTACCGAATGCCGTTTCGCTGATCAAAAGCCTGAGCCATCGATGCAGGACTTTCAGACATTAAAGCCACCAACAACTGCAGCACGTCCATGAGGTTGTCATCCTGTGGGACAAAGAGTTGGACAATATTACCACAAATTATTTATCATAATTTTTTGCCTTTAAATTTCCGTCCCATTTAGTATTGTAAAAGAAAGAACATTTTTAAATATAAAAACATGCAGTTTATATTTTAATCAATGTCCCTCCATAGAAAGGTGTTATATTGTATTGGTAAAATTTGGTAAAATTCCTTATGTGAAACAATACATGAATCATGGCAACACGCCGTATCAGTAGGAAAAATCTCATATTTCACTATTATGTGAGAAACCGTGACAGACATGCCACCCAAAACATAAGAACTATATCATGTTTAAAATGAACTGTTGCTGCATGAAAGTGGCCTTCCAGTACAATTTCCTAATCTCCCTTTGTTTGGCTCCCACATCCTCCTGATTGAGTGACTGCTTCATTTGTAATGCATTAGTGCATTGTGAACTAAACCAATTCTGTCAGGACTTGGAGTTGGCAGACACGGAAAAATAACAAGGAACAGTGCTACTTCTAAAAGGCAGTTTGGTCTCCCCGCGTTATCAGATTGAGTGAGTAAAGTGGTAAAGTGGTGCAGCGATGCCACCTGGTGGTCAGGTCTGGGTTTGCGACAGAGTGCAGCCTGACCTCATGCAGGGTTAGGAGGTAGTTCAGGATGCTCTGGAGCTCGTCTTCCTTCACGCCATGATCCTGAAACAGAAGGCAATCATTAAAAAGAAAAACTGTACAAATAAATACTGACTACGTTCAAAAGAGGGGAAAAAGGATAAAGTCAATTGCATTTCAAACTGTGAAAAGAGTTGAACCTTTTGAAGACAAGCACAGGTTAGACCTGACTGTGCTCAAACCTGCAGCTTCCCGATTGGTTAAAATCATTCAAATCAATCACAAGGCCCCTTGTTATGAGTTCAATAATTGTCCAACCAATCTTACTGGTTGTAAGTCATGCCAAGGGATGGGACTGTTTTAAACATGTTATTGTTGAATAATACTTTCTTTACCTTACAGTAACCCATGGTTAGAAATATACATTATTTTATAACTCAAATACAATTAAAGTTTCGAACATCACCTTTAACGATGGGGTATCTTTCTAACTCCTATTTGTCTTGGAAGCACAGACATTGAATGAGTCAGACATATTTTCTGTACAACTATTGTTTCGAGAAAAAAAAAATTCAAAGAGCCATGCACAACACTATATAGGGTTTGAGTTGGGAACAGTGGTAATGGTTGTGGTCAAAAATGTATGCATCTTAAATAAAATATCCAAGGAAAAGTTACCATGATTGATGGAATAACTACTCAACCTCTTACTGTAAAAAAATAACTAATTTAGTATAAGAATTCACATTTGTTATAATGAACTGTATCTTGCTGGTACTTTAACACCTACTTTCATAATGAGTTGCTTTACAAACAGCAGGAGAAAAGTTCTCAAATGAAAGATGTCCCTCTCGTTCGGCCTTGGACCATCTAAAAACAACACACAAATTCAACATGTGTTTTTTGTGATTTTTGAAAGTGATCCTGCAGCATTGCATGCACTGACCTGTCCCCTTGGGCACGACCCCACTGCGGTCCTGCGGGTTGATGACCCAGTAGTAGTACTTGAGCGTGTGCATCACCTGGAGCACAGTGCCCACCCTGCGGATGGCGTTGTAGATGGTCACCGTGCTGACAAACTCCGTGGCCAGGTATGTGAACAGGGTCAGCTGCACCTGGAGAGTAATAGTCATTTGATGCTCTGCATCTTTCATGATGCAAACATATATCGTCATGGTAAGGTACTTCAATGACTTCCCATGGTCTATCAGCAATATATATATCTTATCTGCATTTAAAATGATCTATTCAGGCTAATACTTGAGATTTATGTACTTTTATTCGGATTTTTTTTTTTCCTTATGTGACTTATTAGATGATATTTTATTTATTTTAAGACATTTCTGAATTGTAAAAAGAAGCTTGTCCCACCAAATTAGTCAAATGTTTAAATTATTCCTCCATTTTGGGAACAATTGATTGAAAAAGGAAGAAAATACTATAAGGCAGAATTGTAGTTTTTGAAATAAATACCAAATATTCATGAATTAATTCATAAAAAAATCCTGTAGTCTTCTCAACAAAATATGGAAATATGCAAACTACAGAAAGTAAGAACAAAATCCTGAAATCAGTGATTTTAAATCATGTGAAGAATATTCCATGTAAACGTTTGACCCTTATTACTGGATCAATGAGAACCACAGTGTTCAGCAGCTTCACTTTATTTTTTTATTATTTTATTAGGTTTTACAAAAGACTTTTAAAAAACAGGGCACAAATTTGATGAATCCACACATTATGCAATAAAAGGTGAGCCGGTTCTATTCTTCCAGACAAGCTGCTCTTTTCAGCCGCGTAACCACGTGCCGGTGTGTGTATGAGTAATAGAGTTACCTTGGAGGGGGCATGGATCCAGATGGCCGGGTTGAACATAATGTGGTCGCACAGCTGTTTGAGCAGCAGGATGCCGTTGGGTAAGTTGCTGAGGTATCGGGAAAAGGCCAAGACGATGTCCAGGACGGGCCGCGTCACATGGAGTTTGGAGGACTGGACGGTGAGGGGGGGTAAAAAGTTGTTAAAAGTGACATTAGGCAAAAGGGCAAGGGTTAGACAGGGCGGTCACTCATTTGAATCACATAATAGGTTGCGTTCATGTGACATCACAACTTTCCAAAAAGCCCATAGTCTAAGATTGTGGTGGATGGAAACTGAAAAATCTTTGCTTGTAACGATGATGCCAAAACGTCAAATTTCTAGTCAGAGAATTTTCATTACATATCAAGAATAATGTGGTGGATTTATGAATTTAACAAACAATGACATTTTCGTTTTTAACATTTCAGTCAAAGATTGCTTCTTTCCCATAGAATTGTATTGGTACCTGCCCTCCAACTGAGACAGAATTTGACAACATGAACGCAACATATTATTATTACTAATTACAAAGTGTTAAATCAAATAAAAATATAATTTCAGATAAGTTCATATGTCATTGGAAATGTATGTGACTGAACAAAATACGCCTAAAAAAATACCCTGCAAAGATATGATGTTGTTGTCTTCAGGATAAAAACAAGGGAAAGAATAATATACAGTGTTGTTTAATCATGTACAACTTTTATCATTATGTGAACAATGTAATTAAATTAACAACAATTTCATAAAAGGAACAAATAAATACTGTAAATAAAAATACAGTATATACAAACTTGTACTTTGCATATTTGTTATATTTGCCCTTTAATTTTTGGTGAAAGATTCTGTTGTGATTTTATTGTTGCTTTGAGAATGCTGTACTAATCATTTAAATCAATAACTGCATGCAGATTGTTTTTTACTTTTTATGTATAATACCTGTTCCTCAGTTGTAATATGTGCATTTACAAACTGTGAAATTAAAGAAATAAAGTAAAAAATTAAAGAGGTTAGTCATTATTTTCATGTCTCCAATACTGGTCTGGGGGCAGTAATGATACGGGACACTTTGGTCATCTTGTTTGCTATGGACCAATGGCTCGTATGTGTTTGTTATTTGTAATGCAATAATAACAAAACATACACACATTAGGGTTATACAAATTTACATAGAATTGAATTGAATATCAGTGCTGTAAATGACTACACTTGTAACTGTTGTGACATAATCTGATGAAGGGAAGTCTATTTTATGTCACAATTGTAATTAAACAAAAATTGGGATTATCACATCTAAGTCAATACTCTAATGATTCTATTCCAAGGGGAATGATTTGATTGTTTGTGATAGTCCATCTGAAACCTCGAGTGGCCTGCTCACCTTCTCGAGCGTGTAGCCGATCACCAGGAAGCCCTTACAGGCCAGCACCTGCTCCTGCATGGCCACAGAGTTCTTCAACAGCTCCATGACAAAGGACAGCAGAGTGCAGCTGAGCAGAGCAAACGGCAAAGAAGATCATGAGTGAGGAGTGTGTCACATCTGCCCGTCTGTGTGTGCATGTGTGTGTGCATGTGTGTGTGCATGCGTGTGTGCATGCGTGTGTGCATGCGTGTGTGCATGTGTACGTGTGCGCGCGTGTGTGTATGAGTTCTGCTGACTGAGGGCTGTCTGTGAAGGGCACATCCCACAATGCACTCTGATTGAATGAGGGTGTCATGTATGAGGGTGACTGGACACTGCACTGTGGGCAGCATCACCTTGAGGCCAGTGGAGATGACTCATCCATAAAAAGAATATATTTCTCGACTTTATTTGAATTCAAGATTTTGTTCGAGGTTTCAATTGTTTGATTATTTGTTAAATTATTACTAAATTATTATCTTAAGTCAACCACTTAAAATAAATGTTTGAAATAAAGCCAGAAAAAGTATTGTATATATATTAAATTATAATATTTTATATGCATATTTATGCTTTTTTGTTCTTTTTTTTTTTTTTACACACAGAGGACAAAGTGGACCTGGATCCCCTCAGAAGCCAATGCACCAGTCCTCATAACATCACTCTTTCAAAAGATGAGAACTGACGGAGTGACTAGTGGACCAAGGGCCGCAGTGTTTGGTGGTTTCAAATCCCCACAAATGAAGTGACCCAGAATTGGTCTCATACATTTAACTCAAGCTTTCCTTTTGTGAAAAAGAACCAAACATGTGCATCCTAATCCCATCATCTCAGTCATTCAGTTCTTTTGAAACGACTTGGTGACGATATAACAACTGGTGCCATTGTTTCTGAAGTGAACCCAGTCCAGTAGATCCATAAGTGTTTGGTCAGTTATTAACACAACACAATGATAATCATGTTTCACATACTGTTGTTCATTTTCTTAAGATATAAACCACTAGAAAACAGTAAATGAGTGGGTATAGATGTACATTTACAGTAGGGGAATATTACAAGTCCTAAAGTTTACTAACTGCAAGAGCTAAACAGTAGCCACAACTCTGCCCCCATGTACTGCATGTCTCGGCTGAGTGGAAGTGTATTTACCAGACGGTGGTGTCCAGCTCATTGCTGGTGGGCTGACGATAATCCAGCTGTGCAAACAGAGGGAAGAGGACCTGCACACCCCCGATGGAGTGAATCCCACTCTGGACTGAGTGAGTCACCACGGCCTTCACATCCTACACAGGGAGACCTTTATGATCATTAAAAGGACTTTGTACAATTAACTGGTTGAATATGATCCCAAAGGATTTAGTATCTAGCTAAAACAAGTAGTAGTATACAACTCTTGAATTGGGTGAAATTGATTATTAAAAGGGGATACTGGAAAGGTTTTTCAAGTATTATTATTAACGAGCAAATATTGACAGTAGGGCTGGGATATGTGGAAATATTGTTGCTGTTTTATTGCCTCCTTTGAGTGATGACTATGGCAAAATTGATTTTAACTGAAGTCGCAGAACTGATTAACTAATGAAAAGAAGTATTATACAGAAACTGACATCTCTTTTCTGAAAACACTAGACTGCCCCGTGGTATACATACAAACATGCTGCTCGTTTCAACAAAACTACAGAGGCCTTGAGAAGTAGAGGCCAGCATAAGTTGCTTCATCCCAATCTTTTGTTGGTTGGAGTAGTCAGTGAATGTAATATAATTATTTATATATATATATATATATATATATATATATATATATATATATATATATATAAATAATCAACCAAAATAAAATCACAGATCTTTTTAATGCCAATTCTCTAAATGAAAACCACTATGTTCTGTATTTAATTATGAACATCAAATCCATTGTGCTATAAATAATAATTGGTTAAACAGTCAATAACAAGCCAAAAGTAAGGATACTTTTGGTCAAAGAATTAAACACTATGTTGTTCACTCATTTAAGAAAATAACGCAATTTCAATATTTTTTGAAATGCTTAACACTTGATTTGCCTTTCAAAATGTTTTCCTAATTACTACCAATTGAAGACGTGCAAGTATAGCATTGAATTTCAAAAATGGCGGAAAATCAAAATTGAGAATAATTAATTGGAAAAAGTTGTTTCGCTTTTTTTTTTCTCCGGGTTGCCCAGCCATAACTCTAGTTTAATAAAGCAATAGTTTGGACAAAATACATACATCAATGAGCTAAAAAAAAAAAAAAAACTGGCGAAAATATGTTAACATCCCTGGAGTATGTGGAAGATTTCTCTCGGCCAGGGGTGTAAAACTGGTCCCAGAAAGAGCCACTCGGCCTTTTAAGGAGAGACTTGAAAATTCCTGGAATAACAATCTTATTCCACGGATGACCTGGGATTTTTTTTATCTCTTAAAAGATTAGACATATTGGGAAAATTGACTTTGAGTTTTACATTAAGTTACAATATATAGAGTATACATTTAAAAGAACGGCTTTGCTAAGGTCATGAATGGATACTGGTTGCTGACATGTCTGTTGGGGTCAGAATGCTTTAGTCACCTGCAACATCAGCGCATGAGGCGAGTGGACAAAGATGGAGGCGTTCTCTTTGGGTGATGATTCCAGACAGAGCTGAGCATCGGTGGCTCGCGGGTTGTAGCTGAATGCGATGCATGAGGACAGTCTGCCATCGTAGAGAAGGGTTTTATGGTGATCAGCAAACAGCAAGTCACTCTCTGCTTTGTGCCTGAACGTGCCCTAAAGAGGATAAACAAAGTGTTATGAATATACTTAATGGTTACCATGGTTATCTTATGCACTTTTCAACCCAGCCAACAAAAACTACTTATTAAGCAATTATTACTGAATATTTAAAGTGTGCAAGTCATTTCTAGCACATTCTGTGGCTGGAGATTTTGCCAAGGAATCTTAAGTTGGTCTAAGCATTGTTAAGGACATTTCACTAATTGTTTATATTTAGTCAAGTCCAAGATCTATTGCACTACATCACATATTATTTAAGTACAATATGACGTCAAAACTAGGATAATAGCTAAACATTTAATGATTGCATGGCGGTCTATAGCGTTGACCATTGATTAATTGGACAGGCTGACATCACTCATTGATTTTGCATATTAGGGATTACTCTTCCATGCTCCATTGAGAGAAGTCTGGAGCCAAATTCTCAAGAGAAACCAAAGAGGCAATCATGAGTCAAGCAGGTCTTGCACTATTTGGGAAAGAAGGGACCTGATGGTTCACTTATCATGGAGTCATATGTGGATTTAGAAGGACTGTGTCAGGACAAAACCAAAAATATCATGAAGCGTGTTAAAACCCACTCATTTCAAATGAGTGTGACAAGTGTCAAAGTAAAATTACTTTTTATCACATATTTAAAACTGCTACACACTCCACAAGGGATATGTGAATGGGAGCCAAAGGCTGTAGTGGAAACATTTGGTCCACGAGCACTTCGCTTTCCTTCCCTAGCACTCCTGCCTTCTAATTTTCTGGTCTTTGGCATCTCAATCAGCCCTTTACCTGATAACCAGGACCAAGTTGATAAATGGCTAAGATGTGAGCTGCACTGAGCGCTTCAGAAAACAGGTAAACGGCCCCCATCTGTCCACAAAAGACACGGTTGACATCTGCCGTCTCCGCCGAGCCGAGGAAACACTTATCAAACGTCTGGAAAGTCAAAACATATGCGGTGAATTATAAGAATGAATTAATTATGCACTTCAATCTAGTACCAATGGTACTTACATCATTTGTACTGACAAACCAGGAGATGTCCCCAAAGGAGGCAAGTTCCCCATTTACATAGCAGCTAATTTCACAGCTCTTCCAGCGATTGTACACATGCACTAGAGACACCATGTACCACTGAAACCACACAAAAAGACAACAGTATACCATTTTGCAAGAAATATACTAGTGGCTCATAACTGGTGTATCTGCAGTGTTTGTTTTAACCACTTGTCTGCTATTGTGATCAGTGTTGGGTAGAATGCGTTGAAAATGTATCCCGTTCCAGAATAAATATAGAATCTTCACTTTAAGAATACCCAATGTTTCCTTTTCTTTTTTTAATCTTAAAACCTAATATGAGAGTATTCTGAATACGTAATGGGATCACATGTATCCCGTGTTCCCAATTGAGCTAAAAACAAGAAGACATTTATTCCACTTATTCCTTTTATTTCATCTCTCAAATTAATGGAAAAACAGAGATGGAACTTACATATACATATTTATATTCAATACTAGAGCTCTGGTTATCTTGTTTGTAGCGTACCTTCTGTGGTTTGAAGTCGTACTTGACACAGTGCTGGAATCCTTTGCCCTTTGATTTCAGGGAGGTCACTATCAAACACCCGCCAACAAAATGTGCAGAGTAACCTAGGCCTTTACTAGTGCGAAAGCTGTGAAAAGACATGAACCAAATGGGTAAACGAGTACTTCAAGAGATAAATAACATACAGAACAAATGTTGGGATTCTTCAATCTTTCATCTACAGACAATATAAAAACCAAATATGCATGAAATTAGAATTCAAAGTCATCATTATCTGTTATTTATGGAGTTGCATTCCTTTTACTTTAATTAACCATTTTCTTCCACTTCTTCCGCACAGCAGAGATGCCCAAACATCGCTGTTCACTATCCCAAGGCATTCTCAGGCCAGCTGTACACCTAGTCCCTTCTGCATGTCCTGGGGCCTCCTCCCAGTAGGACATACTTGGAACATCTCCCCAAGGAGGTGCCCAGGAGGCCTCTGAACTCCTCAGTTTGCTCCTTTGACGGGGTGGAGAATCAGCTCAACTCCGAGCTCCTGCTATGTGACTGAGCTCCTCACTATCTAAGGGAGAGTGTGGCCACTGTAGATCAAACTCATTTTGACCACTTGAATCTGTGATCTGGTCCTTTTGGTCATTATCTATGGTCATGAATGGCCTTTCATTTAAGCATAAAAATCATGTATTACTCTTTATTTTTTTAGATTGAATGTGTAGACTTTAAGTGGAAAACGAAACTTGTTTAAAAAGCTGCTACTTTATGACCACCGCTCTATGAAGAACATCTGACAGAGCACAGATAGCAAATCATTTTCAAATGGTGTTTCAGAGAGATGGGACTTTGCATGTAATTTTCTAAATTAAGCCATTTCAAAAGAACTGGAGCACTTTCATTACAGATTTTCCAAAGCAGCTCAGTGCAAGCGCAGCTTATCATTTAAAACAAGTTAAGACAACTAAGTGACAGTTGTAGGAATTATATTTTTGACAGAACTTAATTATGACTTCAAAATCAAAACAGTGAAGCATTTCATTTATGTGATAGAAAATGTCATGTTTAAAGTGCAGTGCAGTGTTCAGTCTGCACATCTGACACACAGCATTTGCATCAAACTGACATATTTAAAACGTGTGAAATGTAAAACACACAAGTACACATACCAGTACAGATAAGGCTTATCTTTATCAACATTAATGTTGTTGAGGGGATCCATGCGGAGCCAGGTGTGGAATGTAAAACCATTCTGATATGGCCATTTTGCAATAGGAGGCAGCGCTATAGCCTTAAAAAACGGAAACCAGAGTTAGTCAACACAAAACCACACTTCAACAGCACAACAGTACAAAGAGCATTCTGTGAGACAACAATCACATTTTAAAAAATTATATATATATATATATATATATATATATATATATATATATATATATATATATATATATATATAAAAGGAAAACAAAATCTGGAACAGTATGCAAAACACACTGTACAACAGAGTTGCAAAACATGTATAATACTTACAGCAGCATTTTTTCCAGGAAAGCTGAAGAAGGAGTCTGGACCGTTTCTGTGGGCCATGTACTTAAGCACTGACAAGAGCTTCACGGCGTGGCGAGGCTGACAAACAACAATTACAACACTTTCTAAATAAAATCTTAAAACATAAAAATGTATGGATTATTAAGTCATAATTTAGATGAATCAAGCACATTTTTCTTACAAACAAAATTAGATGATCAAGCATATTGTTTGCTAGATAAAATGAATAAAAATGCAATACTTGCAGCAAAGATTTTGAAATAATGGTAAAAAGTGATGTTTCCTCAGAGCCATTTTGAAACACATTAGCAAGTGGGGAAAGGCATGATATAGTCCAACTATTGTTATTGCTGTATGTATTATCAAAAAAACAAAAACAATTTCTGGCACTGATAGGGGTTCCAAAAATGATAACATGGTTGCACCACAAATATTTTTGCCCAGACTCACTTCTAAATTACATGCTAAATCTGAACACAGGGCAATCTCTGTGTAATACATGGTTTTGATGTGTGCAGACCTAGCTGGGTAGTAGTTTGCATAATTTATCACAGATGAGCGTGTTGCAGGGACTCACCCACTGGCCCTTTTCTCCTTGTAACTTGCTGAAGAAGAGCTTTAATTCCTTCACTGTGATGCTATAGCTGGCCAGGACTCCCAACATGTCCACCAACAGGTCTGGGAAGGACAGTGAAGGATAACAGAAGGTGAGTAGTGGAATGTTGGAGGTGTTGGATTGGTTCTTTATGATTTTACACAGTTTTTGTTTTTTCTTGAGCACTTTGAGTTGTGCATTACTACGTGCTATACAAATAAAAGTGCCTTTCATAATGTTTACATTTTCAGAACCCTTTGGACACATTTGACCCAATTTGTAGTATGTGTGCAAAGTGGAAAACCTTTATAATTGTGAAAAAACAGGCAAAAGCTAAACTAGCAAATGATATGCTTTGTATTTGGGCTTTATGCACTATGTGTATTTTGAGAGTTTCAGAATTCAAATATAGTAAGATTTTGGTCAGGTGCGTGTGATGGTGCTGTTGTCTCATCGCAGAGCAGATAATGAAATCCAGTCTTGATCTCTACAACCTTGAAGAGCAGCTAAGTGCATTTCCTCATTCAGCTAGTTGCTCTGTGAATGTAAGACTGATTTGCTACTTACAATCACGGGATGTGTGACTGTACAGGTGTTATCACTGTTCTTCCTCTGCCCATTTCTTTCTGAGAGGATTTAAGGATTTATAAGTGATCGACTTCTTCCAGGTCTGCGTTGTGTGTGCATGTGTGTGTGCGCATGTGTGCGTGTGTGAGGAGCAGATATAGGGACTCTTTAATAAAAACAGATGCGCATGGTGAGGATAACACGACTAGTTTGTTGATGTAATCCAAGCCAGCCAGAACCACAGTGAAATTACACCAATTAAGCCACATTTGAGTTTAAATATCCAGCTTCATTTTTTTTTACCTGCAATCATGCTGTCGGTGGTGGCGATTCGGTCCAGCACTAGTTGGATGAGCCCCACTTGGGTGCAGGCCTGCAGGTTGCGGACACTCTTTTTGAGGATGGCGGTGAAGATGCTCCAGATCTCAGCCTGACACGTGGGTTCGCACTGGTCCAGTAGCTCCACCGTGCACACAATACTCTCCGGCTCCTGAATTATGAAGTTCATCTCCAGGTCGAACTGGCCACCTACCAACTGTAGAGCAGGAAAAATAAATAAAAGTCACACTTAAAGCAAAAAAGGTGTTGTTGTTCAGCTGGTGCATTGAAATGGGAATGGAAAATACAAGCATCTCAATAAACATAAGAGTGATATCAGTACATGGGTCTATATAGGGAAAAAGAGTTCAGCCTTCAGATAAAACGGCTCTATGTGTCATTTCCGTTTGATCCATTAAGAATCAGATGAGTCTTTAAACAGACTAGTGCGAGTTTAGTTTAATAGGACATGGAAATGCTATTAATCTGAAGGTTTATACATTGCCATTTGCAGTCCTTCTTCAGTACAGACTCCAAGACGTGAGTAAAAAAAAAAAAAAATTCACTGGACCAATGGCCTACTTGATCACTGGATCAAGAACAAAAATTACTCTTTTCAGTTCTGAAATGAACAAGCAAGGTAGTAGAAATTCTTTATTTAAAACATGCAGCCCTGCGATTGTTAGTTTGGGTAGTCCTGCTCAAAATTCTGTTCAAGTCAGCTAGAGAAAATACTAAATCCTGTGTTTTAGTGTCACCTTGATTGGACAATGTGCATTGCTAGTCAGACTGTGGCGCCTGTTCACACTGCTCAAGAAAAGGCTCCTAAATTCAACTCAAAGATTGCAGTTGGCATTCCTTTGCAGCATGACAATTCAGAGTTGATTGATGATGACAATAATATAATCCTTTAATGAAATCCACAAAGTAAAAGGGACAAAGAATATTTCACTTTGTTGAGTATGTGAGACCTATTAGCAGGTGATAAATTATTCATCCGACCCGCGGCTGTCCAAAAGCTTCAAAGGTCAAGGGAAAAGACAAGGCTGTTTGTCGGACCGCAGCATAGACACATGAATACACCTAAAGCAGTTGTGCCACAGATGAAACAAGGCTAAGGTCAAACATCAGACAATGCTAAAAGAATTATAAAACTCTTTCAAATTAGATGTGGGGAAAATAAACAACAACTTTAATTCCTGATGGAAACTGGATGGTAAACTCATCAATCTCGTGACAGATGTGCTTGTATATTTTCAGGTCAAACGTGAAAGGAATCCAACATGGAAATATATGGCTTCATTGTGTGAAATATACTGTTAAAGTGAATGCCGTGTTACGTTTGGTATTGTATAATTCTCACCGATGCAGCCCCCTAATTGGTCAAAATTAATTGAAATCCTGGTTTAGTTATTCTCCTCCAGCAGATCTTACTGGTCTTAGTTGGTCTTAGCTGATCTTAGCTGATCTTACTAAGTTCGCCATTACCATTCGGTCGGTCTGTATCTGGAAGTCCCACGGGATCTTCGCAATCTCATTCTCCACCACCTTGGGGTTTCCAGCCCCATACTCTGCACAGATGTTTCTGTACACTATGCCAGCCACTTGGTTATGGCTTTCCATGTGGGCCTTCCCTGCCAGCATCTTGCACCCTGCAGTTATGTGTTGTATTGTTTCAGGTCCCTCTTTGCACAACCAACATATATACTGTATTATACGTATAATTTTTTCTTTTTAACTTTTTATTCCTAAAATTTTGTTCTTTGACATTGCAGTTCTTGTGGCATTAGATTAGATCCCAGGCCTGTAAAAGCACTACAACCTAAGAAATACAATAATATAATTTAATTCATGATACCCAAAGAGATGGCTCCCATGACCCGTCTTGTAAAACCAATTTGATCCTCAGTTGAACCGTATGGCCGAGGAGTGATGTGCTTAGAGTCTGGGACTATATTGTACATCCCATAACTGTCACAATTTGTCACACCTTAATAGTTGCAGTGACATTTTTATTATTGCCCTCTGCCCATTACTGAAAGATAAGGAAAATAGCAGCGCTCCCGACAAATTAATAATATGAGGGAGGGTGTGTGGAGTGGATGGGGAAAATGAAAGATAAAATTAGGTTAGTGATAGATGTGATAACAATGTGTCAGCAGGAGAGCAGAACAAGCCTGGCAGACGGCAGATGCTCCACATTTTAACCTTGTAACATCATTTTTTTAATAATAATTTTTGTGGTTCATTTTTTACTTACAGAACAATAGTGCTCTGTGTGAGGGGTCCAGCTTTTCTCATGTTCCTGCTTTGCCTGGAATGCTCCTCCGTCTGACATTAAGATTGCAATCTTGTTCTTGGTGTGAATAATTATTGATTTGTATTGCTTTCAATATGGGTCAAGTTGTGTGATTTGGATCTGGATATAATTTCTCAAAATGCATGTTTCCCACAACATGACAAGGTCTGGGTGATCGATTTAAAATAAAGTAAATAAATAAAAACTGTATAGTAAGATGCCGCAAGAAATATGCATTATATTTGTTATTTCAAGCTTTAGAATGTTAAATATTATCGCATGTAGAAAATATATGATGAAACAAGTATGAATGGTAAAGTATGCAAGGATGGTTCTAAAAAAAAAAAAAAAAAAACACTCCCAGTGTGTTTTTGATGAGGGAACAATGATGCAACAGTTACAAAATGAAAAGTATAGTACATAACAGAGATACTTTAACCGATCAAATTAGACATTTAAGCTAATTTGTACATTTAAGCTAATTTGTGCATGTAAGCCAAACATTATGAAAGGTGAATGAAAAGGGTAAAGACAGAAGCAGTATGTCCCAGCCTCTGGTCTTTCCCCAAAACAGTGAGTTTAGAAGGAAAATAGGTCGTCCTCTTCAACCCCCATGATCTGCGTCTCTCAATGTTAATACATATGCTGAAAATTGAGAAAGATTGAGATTGTAATGCCTCAATCTTTTAAGACCAGTGAGTAGGCCGTTACAGTACTCTAACCTACAGCAGACAAATGCATGGATAAGAATCTCCAAGTCTGCTTCAGGCAATGTGTTTTAGATGGTAAAAAGGTGCTGATGTGACTGCTAAATTTAAGTCTTATTACCCTAAGATTTCTGACCTAATTTGAAGGTTTAGAGACTGGAGGTGACAGATAATGCCCTCTCTTTGTTTATGGCATTAGAATTAAATGTAGTAATTGTGTTATAGGAGAAATATTAAAGTAAAGGCCTTCTGTGTCTGTCCCCCCCTTCCCCCTCTGAATGTATGAGGGCAGCTGCTGAGCCATGTGCAAATATTAGTACAAAAACTGGAGCCACGCCAACCGAAGAACATGGAGAATTGTCCGACTTTGAAATGATTGACTATTTAATTAGAATGTTTGTTCTTTCTAAATTATTGACAAACATTGTGTCAATGAACTACTGCAAAGATTTCCTGGTATAGAGATTGTTTACGACTGAATGAGGGTCATCTATTTTTCGCTTTTGTGTCTGAAAAACTGATCTAACGATTTGACAAATAATAACGCACATCATTTTGAAAACATGAGGTAGACTATTCCGTTGAAAGATTTACCAATGTTTACCAATTTTCACCATAGTAGGGGGTTGAAATGTTAGGTACCGGTACTCCCCACAACTACTACCTTCCCTTGGAGCAAAAACAGCTTCGAGTCCAGGTGGAACACTTTCAATTCAAGGGATTCTCTGTCCATTAATGCACAGTCCTTTGTGTAGACTTTGGAAAAAGTTCGATAAAGTTCTTACTTCTAGATGTCTGATAGGTATTAGCTGATATCTCACTTCTCTGTGGACTAACTTATATAAACTGGCTGTTGGATGGCTCAGATGGCAGCAGCTCGTTGCTAATGGTACCACTTTTCCACATAGAGTACATGATTTATGGCTCTGACAAAGAAGGAAAGTCACTCATCCATCAGAGTGCACTGAACAAGGTGCTGGAAAACCAAGTGGATAGAGATGGAGTAGCTCTAATGCTGACACACCTGGTGCACAGATCTGGCTGTAGGTAAACAATAAATGTATGGATTGCCTAAATTATTATATATCTCTGTTTAGACCAGATTTAGGGCGATAACTTTGATAACAATATAATATAATATATCAACCATAAAACAACCCCAAAAGAGACAATTATAAAGCTGACAACTCTCCAGTTATTGTGATAGTGAGCTTGGAAAATAGTTCCGGTTCCACAAGTGCCAGTGGGCGTTTGGAGCAGGTGTTCCGCCATAGAGAGCACACACCTCCAGCTGTTCTGAAGTTAGCAGCAGACACCAGATCCTGACTGGTGCCTGTGCTACCTCCAGGCTCATCTGAATTAATCATTGCTGAGTGACTGACCAGCACTGGGCCAGAAAAGAGCAAAAACAGTCTCATGGACTACTTCACCACATGCACATCCAGACTGTACCACTGAGGGAGAAAACTAATAGGTTCAATCTTAAGGTGAAGCTAAACTCTTGCTAGTCCAATAACGCAAACAAACAAACAAAAATGTTGATGGGACTGGTGCATACAATGCTGCAGGAAAATCCTTATGAGTGCAAACCCTTTTTCATTTGTCTTTATCATGAAAAGTCATCTTGAAACAGCAATAATTAATTAACCACAAAGTGTAAAAATATACAAAATGAGTTGAATATATATAAAAGAAAGGGCTGAGCTCAGGCCCCTTTGCAGTTTGCCTATCAGGCTCAGCTTGGAGTGGTCCATACTGTCATCTACCTGCTGCAGCGTGCTCACTCACACCTGGACAGTGTTAAACGCTCAGTGAGAGTCATGTTCTTTGATTTCTCCAGTGGCTTTAACACTATTCAGCCCTTTCTGCCGAGTGAGAAGCTGCTCGGGATGGGTGTCAGCTCCTCCATGGTTTTCTGGATTGCTGACTACTTGTCTAGCGGGGACCATCCTGTCTGTGGTCAGCAATGTAGGCACTGTCCTGTAACAGTTCCTGTACACTCTGTACACCTCTGATTTCCAGTACAACTCCGGGTCCTGCCACCTGCAGAAGTTCTCTGATGACTCTGTGATGGTGGGGTTAATCAGAAATGTAAGTAAGAAGTAGTAGTAGTAGTAATCTTTATTTATACAGTATACCGCCTTTTCACTGCACATCGGAGTCTCAAAGCAGTTTACAATTGTGATTTTTGGGAGTGGGGGGGCCAGTATA